AGGAGTTCTGGGCCCGGGGCTCTTGGGGCTAACTACAGTCTTCGTGATTATGGAGGTCTCAGGCACAGGAGGCGAGCTCTGGGCCTGGAGGCTTCTGAGGATGAGGTGGGTAGTGCTTGGGGAAAGGGAGCGGGCTAGAGCAGAATCCACTCTGAAGGGAACTGGCAAACAATGGGGACTCTGAACCTGATCTTCAGGTCCTAAGAATGCTGCCCAGCTGGATCCTACAAGTGACAGGAGGAGGCAGGCCTACAAGAGAGGCTCTAGAATCTAGAATTCAGAAGCCTGGAAGGCCCAAAAACCTGGATGGGAGAAATGTGTTCTTTGCCCCATGTCATGCTGGGGAGCAAATAAAAGGTAGGCATGGAGGAAGCAGTTGTAACCTGAGTCCTGAACAGCTGACAACTGTGATACTGCATAAAAGATGATGATACTGCATCAGGTGTTTGGAGCCAGATGGAATTGAATTCAAATCCTTGTTCCTCCTTGTATGAGTTGTGTGACCCTGAACACTACTTTGTAACTCAGTGTCCTCACCAGTGAAATGGGGATAATAACACCAACCATTTAGGGTTTCCTGCATATTGAATTGGTTAATAGGTGTGAAAGCACTTTGTAAACCATAAAATGTTGTTTAATCCATAAAGTATTTTGTATCATTACTTTGCTCCCAGGGATGGAGGTGGCCACTTCAGTGGACAAGTGTCATTTGAGGCATGGCATACACCTAAAGGGACAGTCCAATATCCACTGCACTAGGGAAGCCCCAGATTGAGCCAGCTCCTGGTTCCCATTGCTTCAAACTGGCTTAACTCTGCTAGGTTTCTACTGGAAACAGCTACAGCTGCCACTGCTGCCACCACTACCACCCAGTGGCTACTTCAGGAAAAGACCTCTTCCAAAGTTCCCCAATCAGCAGCTAGCTTCTGCTAAAGTTACAGAGACCAGAAGAAATGATTTGTGCCTTATGCAATGCTGCTGTCCAGACTTGCTCTCTTCTGTGAAGCTCTTCCTCACTTTTGTACCTGTGATTTGGGGATTACTCTGGTTCTCCTGTTCCTATGGATATTCCTTCAGACTCCTTCCCTGGTTCCTTATTGTCCTCCTTTCCCCAAGTGGGACTCTTCCCCAAGGCTTATTCGGAGAGCCTCTCTCCACTCCCCTTTTCTAATCTCCTCCCCTCTTCTCTCTTCCCCTTTCACCCCCCCCCATTTCTCTCCCTCCCTCTCAACATCCACTCTCAAGATTTAACTTAGAAGTTATGAATAATTATATTGACCAATGAGACACCAGCATACAGATCTCTCTCTAAGCAAAATTAATCTCACATTTGTATCATATTTTATTTCTACTGAAATTATGAAACATACCATAAACTACCTAAAATTATACCCACTTGTGTTTTTGTTCATCTCTTCCCACACTGGACCCAGAGCTCCTTGAGGACAAACACCTGGCTTTACCTGTCTTTCCCACAATCTTCCAAGCATGTTCCAGGTATTTCCCTCCAAAATTATACATCTTGTGGTCCAAAAATGTTCCTTCTAGTTCACAGTTAACAAAACAGATATCTTGAACATATTAGGTGTTCAATAATTGTCTGTTAAGTGAATGAATGACTCACTAATAGTTTGTTGAATTGAATGATTCCCATGTCTATAGTCTAAACTCTGTATATATTGTTTGCTCTGGGACATATCCACTTGGCTATCTCATTGACATCTAGAATTTAGTATGTCAGGCAAAGTGTATTGCCTTCTTTCCCCTGACTGAGATAAATAAGTGTATAAATACCATTATTGTTGGTATCCTTCCATTCCCCTACTCTCCAGTCTTTTCCAGCCCTTCCCTCTTTGCCCCTCAAATTCTCTGCAATAGTTGCTCTTCCCTTGAGGCATAAAGAAAGGAAAGTCATGATTTCTAATCTCTTTTTCTGAGGTGGAGGCAGGGAGAGGAAGAAAGGAAGGTAAAGGAGGGAAAGGAATGGGGAAAGGAAAGTGGAAAGGAAGGAAAGAAATGAGGGAGGGAAGGTAAGTGAAATAGTGGGGGAAATGCAGCTTTGTAATCAGAAACACCTTGAGTTGAACTCTGGCTCCATCACCTACTAGCTAGATGGCTGTGGGTAAGTCTTCCTGAACATGCATTTTCTCACATGTAGAATGGGCATATTAGTACCTGTCTTGTGAAGAGAAAATGAGGCAATGCATGGAATGCATAGGGTCTGGTAGTTATCACCCTCCTCATCGATAGGAATTATAAGATAGGTGAATTCAGAGCGTGTTGCAGATAGAGCTCACCCTAATTGCCTGTTTTCTTTATAAAGTGATAAAATGAGGTCACCTATCCTATATAATGAAGAGCTAATATGCAAACGGTCATCACATCCTCATGCCCTCGTGCCCTCGTGCCCTCGTGCTGGAACTGCTCAGACACTCAACACTGGGGAGAGGAATGGGGACCAGCCAGGCACAAATGAGCTTACAAGAGAGGAATGGGGACCAGCCAGGCTGCGGCCCAGGAGAGGGACAAGCCACCCACCCCACAGTCCCGGGTGCCAGTGGCTGTGGCCTGGGTGAAGCCATC